AGCCAGGAAGAATGAAGGGTGACTTCCTGGAGGAGGTATCATTTGAATGGGGCCTTGAAGGATGGGTGAAAAGTAAAGCTGTGCAAACTAACAGAAAAGAAAGCAGTGCATGAGCAAACTTGTTGAGGTGGGAAAACACAAAGCATGTACAGGAAACAAACACAGTAAATATCTCTTAAATATTTTTAAAATATGTTTTAAATATGGCGAGGCTCCACCACAGGCCCTGGGTTGCAATACGAGTATTGTTTTCAGGGGGTTTTTGGGCTGGTGGTGAAACTGCTGAACCATCACTACCTCAGGCCAGATGACTGTCAGCAGGGCTCTCAAGTCACTCAGCTGTTCCTGCTGCTTCTTCCCCTGAATGCTCACTCCAAGGAGAGCAGTTGAGGACTGTCGCCCTGGAAATAGCTTAAAAGGCAAGAGCATACCACTGCGAACACTTGAAATACGGGAGACAGCCTTCACACGTGGTCCCGGCTAGGACTGAGGCTTGCGTGGCCAAATCGCTGCTTCCAGCACATCTAAGGTGAAAGGAGAGCAGATCCCCGTGGCAAGATGCATCCCGGATGTGAATCCGTTCTGTTTGTTTTCTCCGAGTGCTTAGGCGTCCAATTCCACATTCATCCTCTCCCTCTAGCTTATCTTTTCCCGACTTTGGAGAGCAGTCTTCCTTATCTAGGAAACAAATGGCCTCCACGGAAAGCTCAAAACAGCAAAGTCATTTATCTGTTTGACATGCGTTTCCCTGTTTGTTTTCTCCAGCCTTGAGACAAGAGTTGTGTCAACGTGGATGGCTGTGCCCCAGTCACTTGAGAGGCATGAATCAATTTCCAGCTGCATTTATCACTTGCTGCCTTAAATCAAGTCTAATCAATGCTTCCTTCATTTGGTATGGATTGAAACTACATATAACACGCCAGGAAAAAGAGCGGGAAAGGGAACAGATCATGAACGAAAATTCCATTGGGGATTTAGATGGAATGATATTAAGGAAACATTTGCAATCTTTGATTTACTTGAATGAAGATGCCTAACTTGAATGGAGACAGTCACAGAGATTTGCATTTATGAAGCTTAACTTCAGTTTACCTGACGTACAATGACATTACATGAAAGATTGCTATATATAAGGGGATCTGCATCTTTTCAAGATTTTATAATTAATTAAAATTCTGAAGACTTGGTATATTTTTAATAGAGGGGCAGCTCAAGAGTTGCCTAGTTTTCTTCCTCTACTGTCTAACTCATTTCTATTTCTTTTAGAGGTGTCTGTTTTGTCACCATTTACTATATGGGTCAATTTCTAGTTACAAGATATAAAATAAAAATCTTTTTATAACAAAATAGATATACAGAAGCCCCTCTGATTTAAAATAATTTTATAAAGTCTTACGACTGAGAAAACTTGACTCTTTTTCCTCCCCCCAATTCTTGGTAATAGCATTTGATCCATACAACCAAAGTGGATTTTTCACTAGCAGGTGTGAAAACCGCCCCCCAGCTGTTCAACCAATTTAGAATGTGGTAGGGAGCAGCCCTGTCTCATTTGTAAATTAATCCTGTGCCAGTGAAAGATGATATCAGCATAGTCACTGGCACCTAAAACTGATCATGCCCACAGCAAGGCCCTGCATTATGCTTCAAGGATAATGGGAGAGAAGAGACAGAACAAAGAAAAATAGGTCAATGATAATGCAAACCTGGAAGATGAGGCAGTGCTGTGATTCACTGATATAATTAATATTTCTATCTAATCTGCTGAACTGTGTAGACTTTTACCACTAGCATGCCTCTGAAGTGATTAACAGGGCTGACTCATTTTCACAGTGCCAGCTCCTCCAGCGATCTGTTGTCAGGTAGCTGACAGAGCCCTGTTCAGCTCTGGGAAGCCAGACAATAATAATAAACCCTTATGTTGGTTTAATACTTTCCAGTTTATAAGCTGTTGTGAACACACAGTCTCATTATCCTGTAAGACAAGCCAGAAAAGTAGTTCTATTCCCATTTTCAAGATGAAGGGAGAGGTTCGGATGTTGGCATACCCCCTTGTGGGCTGGTCACACCAGCACTGTGGCTCTGGAACCCAACTCCTCGCCTCGTCAACCCCAAAGCCTTGCTTCTTCCCACTGAGCTGCAACTAGGCCGTCACTGAGGTCTCCTCCCTGTTCTTTCCCCAGCTTGATTTTTCTCCCATCACCCAGGGTTCTTGGGAAATTCGTAGGGTTATAGGAGATCCCTAAAGTTGCCTGGCAGGTTGTCTAGTTTAAAAAATAAAAGCAGCACCTTTGGACGTGTTTTGGGTTACAGACGTGGTATAGTGTTCTTAACCCATCTTAAAGACAGAGTAATGCGATACAACCAAGCTTTAACCCTCTGCGAACAAACAGAGGGTAAGAGAAACGCCGCAGACACAGAGACTAAAACTAAGGCGCTCACTCCTCGTCTTTAATACTCACGAAGGTTGTTTAATGAGCTCCTGTGCTTTGAGGATTCCAGGAAGGATCATGTTTGCTCATTCTTTAAGGAAGGGAGTAACAGGTTTTTCCACCCAAGACAAGTCTCACCGAAGCAGATCCTGTTAAGATTCCTAAGTAAGAACAGAAGCTGATGGAAGGAAGAATTTCTGTGGCTTTAAACTTTGAGACAAGAGTGGATTTGTTCAACTTGACATTAGTAGAAGTAAATGAAGGGAGTAACGGATAATGCATTTTCAAACTGGCTCCAGGTCATGTGCTACTGAAGAGAAATGCATTTTCAATGGTCATAGGGATTCTGAAGCTCTCCAGGGAGCCTGAGAAAAGTCTTGAACACATTCTGACAAAGCTGTTATAGTGTTCAGGAGTTAACATGCATACCAAATGGCACAGTCACCTCAACTATCCTGTTAATACAAACTGGAATTTATATTGGAAATACAAATGCTCACAACCTATATAAACCCAGAGTAAAAGGAATCATAGCCTTTCTTGAAATAAAAATGCTACTGAGATTAATACATATCAGATTTCATTTCATTTCCTCCCCAAAGCAAATTGGTTTATTTCATTTGTTCATTCATTCAACAAATATTTATGGAGCGCTAAGAATATGGGCACTGATGATTCAGTGGTAACAAGATATGACACAGACCCTGCTTCCTAGGAGCTTACACTGAAGGGGAAATTCACATTTAAAATATTAATGGAGACTTATGCTTCCAATCAAGATAGAGTAATAGGAACCAGATTTACTCTCCCACCTGACATACCCAAAAAAGAAAAACAGAAATAATACATGAAGCAATGGTTTTCAAGACACTGGATATCAGGCAATGACAGACGTGATCCAGAGGGATGGAAAACAAACATGGTGAGCCCTGTGATTGCCTCACCTACTGCCTGAAAGACTGTCCAGGCTGCACAGGGAGGGATGACCCAGGCAGAACCCAGTGGACTCCAGAGTTCAGGAGCCAGAGCCAGAGCTTAGGGCCATCAAGGCAGCTCAAGTCTGCAGGACAGAGTACCAGGGGGGAGAGAGCTCCAGATAACACCAGATATCTGGAGAGGATTCCCCTCCAGTATTCAAAAGAGTACTTACTGATGAGAGCATGTACGTGAGGCCGGGGAAAGAACGACCTGACAGGATTAGAGGGAACAGCGCTCAGCACTCACACAGGTGCCTATTTCTATCAGCTGGACTGGAAAACATAATTCATGGGGCAGGGAAAAATCTTTCCTTAGTACTGGGAAACAGTTCATCCCAGACTGAGGTCTGTCCCAGACCTAACAAATTACAAAAGTAAGACCCACAAGGGGATCAAACTATTTCTCAACTTAACTGCGTCCCAAAACAAAGCTAAAGACTATTTAGAAGAATACATATCCAGCAGCCAACAAGGTAAAATTCACAATGTTTGGCATCCAATCAGATTACAAGGCATGCAAAGACAACTAATAATGAGGACTTATATCTCAACTCAAAAACAAGAAAACAACCCAGCTTAAAAAAAAACTGGCAAGAGATTTGATCAGACACTTCACCAAAGATATATGGAAGACAAGCATATGAAAAAAGATGCTCAACATTACAAGTCTTAAAAAAAATGCAAATTAAAACCACAATGAGATACCACTGCACACCAATTAAAATGGTAAAAATTTTAAAAACTGACCATATACTGAGTGATGACAATAATGTGCAAGAACTAGAGCTCTCATACACTACTGGTGGAAATGTAAAATGGTACAGCCACTTTGGAAAACAGTTTGGCAGTTTCTTAAACTGTTAAACATATACCTACCGTACGGCTCACTCATTCCATTCCTAGACATTTACCTAAGAGAAATAAAAGCATATATCCACACAAAGACTTGCACACAAACGTTCAAAACAGCTTTATTTGTAACAGCTAAAAACTGGAAACAACCAAAATGTCCAACAGCAGGTGAACGGATACATCTATTCAATGAAATACTACTCACATATGGAAAAAAACAAAAACAAAGAAAACCCTCTCAATACATGCTACATTGATGAATCTCAAAATAATGATCCTGAGTGAAATAAGCCTGATAAAAGAGTACATATTACATGATTCAATTTATATTAAATTCTAGGAAATGCAAACTAATGGATAGTGGCAGAGAGCAGATCAATGCTTGCCTAGGGAATGTGGGTAGGGGTGTAAGAGGGGTAACAAAGGGACACGAGGACACTTGGAGATGATGGGGAAACATGTCATCTTAATTGTGGTGATGGTTTCACTTGGTGTATATGTAAGTCAACACATCACATTGTACACATTAAATATGCAGTTTATTGTATGTCAAGTGTACCTTGCTAAAGCTATTAAAAATATTAACGGGCTCTACGTTCCAGAGATTCTGGCAGAACTATTATTTTCATCTTCAAATATTAATTACACTTTGGTAAAAAATACTTTAGAACTTTAAAGTGGCAACAAGGAAACCAACAGGTATCAACATTAGCTCATTGAAAAACAATGTTGTATACACTAAGAAAAAGTACAAAGTGAAAATGAAGAATTCTAATTCAGTATATAAAACCAAATCTGACATACTTCTCAACAATGAATAAAACCACTCAGAGTCAATCATTTGGTGTCTGCTGGTCGTGTCTGTCCTGCACACTGCTGTGGTTTCCAGCACCAGAGCCCGCAGGTCCAGACATCTGAACTGTCGTCTTCAGTTGTTCTCCAAGCTCCTCGATCAGAGGCCCAGACCCTCCAAGAGCCTGGGAGGAGGCAGGTGGCTTTCCCTGACTGACCCCAGACCTCAGGATGGCTGAGTTTCTGCACACCCCACCGTCATCAATTAGCAGAGCACTGCCTTCCTCGAGAAAGGGACCTCGCAAGGAATGTCGTGTCTCAGATGCACCGTCTTCGAGCTCCTCTTGTTCTAAACCTGAGTCTTCAGTCTCAGACGATGTGGTGCTGTCTGATTCCTCCGAATCACTTGCCTCAGGACTGGAGCAGGGCGTCTGCTGCCTGGAGATGGAATGGGCTGCCTCTAATGCAGCTTCTTCCTCCTGCACAAGAAGCGCTGCTGCTTCCAGGTCTTCCAGTTCTAACCCCAGCTGGGCCTTTGTCACGGATACTGCCTTTAAGGCTTCTGCAAGAGCTGCCAACTTTTTGGACCTTGAAAACCATTTTAAGAAGAAATATTAGGACTATTCATTAACTGGCCTGGGGACAACAAGGTACAAAGCTTAAAGAAATAACAAAATGAAGTTGGATCCATACTTCACATGATACACCAGGAGAAATCCCAAAACAGATCAAAGATAGAAATGTAAAAAATGAAGCTAGGAAAGTATTACAAGAAAACATAGGAGATTTCCTTTATGACTCTAGAATGAGGAAGGCCTTTCTAACTATGACTCAAAATCCAGAAGCGACAAAAGAAAAGCAAAGATTGATAAATTCAACTAATAAAAATCAACAACTTCTGTAGGGCAAAAAAACCATCGTAAGCAAAGTCAAAAGGCTAATGCAAAATTGAAAAAAATATTTGCAACTCATATCACAGAGCAAGGCCTAATTCCCCTAACAGAGTTCTTAAAAATAGATAAAACAATCCATCAGAAAAATGGGCAGAAGGCATAAGCAGACAATTCTCACAAAAGGAAATACAAATGCCTCTTAAACATCAGAAAAGATGTTCAACTTCAGTCAAATAAGAGAAATAAAAATTAAAGTCATACTGAGATATATTTTTCATTTACCAGACTGGCAAAAATCCAAATACTTGAAAACGCTGCTAGCAAGGCCGTGGGGGAAAAGGTACCTTCAAACACTGCTGGTGAGAGATTAAACAGGTAAAACCCCTACAAAGGAGAACTTGGCAATAACTTTCAAAATTGAAAATGTACATACCCTTGACCCAGCAATACCACATCTGGAAATTAAACACATATGCTATATGATACAGGCCCAAGGTTATTTACTACAGCATTGTTTTTAATTACCCCAAAATGGGAAACAACTAAATGTCCATCACTATGGGACTCGTTAAGTACGTTATGGCATATCCGTATAAAGGAAGAGTCCACAGCCGCATAAGGAATGAAGCTCTCCATGGGCTAACCCAGATATACTGTTTAACAACAAGATCAAAGGCATGCCATATGTATATGTACCTTCTATGTTAAAAAAAAGGGAAAGAAATAAAAACATATATTTGTATTTGGTTGTATACTTATCAATAAACTCTGGAAAGCTACAGAAAACACTAACTTATGTGGAAGCGTATGGTGGGAACTGGAAAGATGGAGGACAACGATGAGAGGGAGACTTTTCATTGCATATTGTTTATTTTTAATCCTATGTAAATGTAATCCCTATTCAAAATTTTTAAATGTACAAAAAAAAGCAATATTACAGAGCAGCATAGAGTGCTTATTTTTATCAGAAAACCATTTCGTGTAATATTGGAGGATATTTTTCTAAATTTATAACATCTTATGAATAAACTTTTTCACTAACTTGGATGCATTTAGTTGTTTTGTTTTTGAAGCAACATAAAGCATACTACAGTTCTCCAAAAACTATCTCTTTACTGTTCCATAGAGGAAACTCTGATGTGACAACTGAAAAAAGGTGGCAATGAGTGAAAATGGTAAGCGTGCTGACATGGCTTCTGTTTCCCTAACTCCAAAGATTAAATGAGTGTACGAAACAATTTAGTGGCTTGAGCCAAACTGGATGAGGGTGAGTCCACATGAAAAATTCATTTGTAAAAGTGTAGTCCATCCCATAATATTGGGTAAATGCGGCTTCATTTCAATAGAGCTGCAGTGAATGGATGGTGCAATGGGAACAACTGAACAAAGATGGTATTTTTCATCTAAGTGCCTAGATGAACCCGAGACCCTTCCATCTCTAAACAGTTAGCGTGATAACGACTTTGTGCAGGGATGCTCCTCTCCACAGGCGTAAGCAGGACCGGAAGCTCCACTGCCGTCAGTGTCCAAGGGTGGGTGGCAGGTGCGGCAGGGTGAATGGGACAAGGGCAACAGCCATCATTGATGGGCAACTTTCTCTTAGGCGAGGAAAATTCTGAATTTCAGTGTTGGAATTTCCAGAGCTTAGAAAAGAAAAGGTGGCTAGGGTAAAGAGGAAAACGCAGGTGAGATCAGCTGGAGTCAGTTAATGATTCACCAAAGGGCTAGAAACTCTGGGGTAACTCAGATCAGTTGAGACATCTTTAAAAGCATGGAATAAGACGGTTGCAGTATAATTTACATCCATGTCCAAGATAGTTGTAGATAATGTCCACCATATATTTTGAAACCTTGACTACCAGTGGTCAAGGATTCGGTCAGAACTAGTGGGCCAGTTAAAACATCTCTGCCCCAAGGCCCTGTCGGCCTAGGAACTAGTTCACTGTCATCTTTCTCACTGAAGGAGGTCCTCTCTGGATAATGACACACAGCTTTAAGAGATAAAGAGCAATGAACCTGGGAAAGAAGACAATGCCTCTTATTAAATCATAATATTAGAAATAAAAATTTAAAATAAAAGCTTTTACTTCAGTGACCATATAGCTCATATTTTTAATAGCCATGACAAACATTTGAAGGATGAGGTTCCACGTCATTGCACTTACTCCTGACAACAACCCTGTGAAGCAGTTTCATGTCTATCTCCACGTTACAGATGACGAAACAGAAGCCTGGAGGGCTCAAGAGACCTGCTGAAGTTCACCCAGTTAACAAGGGGCAGTCAAGACTGGAAACCCACGCCCAGCAGCTCTAGTGCGATTCCTGCTCCACCGCAGGGCCTCCCGCGAGTATCCAGGCTCTGCAAGTTTCACTTCATAAGACCACATTCTTCACTCCTTCCCAATTTGAGCTCTCCTCAACATCTTCCAAATGAGCAAGTTCTGACTTGCACAAGGCCCAGAACTCTCCAAAGAAGCTATGACTGGTATCTTTATTTTAGCAATCTTAAATGAAGAATACATCTGAGCTTTTTTTTTTTTTTTTAAAGATTTTATTTATTTTATTTTTTCCCCCCAAAGCCCCAGTGGATAGCTGTGTGTCGTAGCTGCACATCCTTCTAGTTGCTGTATGTGGGACTCGGCCTCAGGATGAACGGAGAAGTGGTGCCTCGATGCGCACCCGGGATCCGAACCCGGGCCGCCAGCATCGCAGCGCGCGCACTTAACCACTAAGCCACAGGGCCGGCCCCATCTGAGCTTTAACTACAGAGGTTTAGAATAGGAGGGAAAAAATTGAAGTACTTTTGTGGATATTAGTGAATACAGTAGATATGTCAATACTCAAGTTAAAACTATTTGGATCTTTGTTATTGTCTTCTATAAAAATATTATATCTGTTGTTTATAACAGTATAAGTTTGGAATTTCAAAGCCCCTCACAGTAATCCTAGCTCTTTTCAGAAAGCACAGTGGGACTAAAAAGTCAACTCTGACAGATAGGAAAGTGGCGAGGATGAGCCGTGTGACCCAGACAGGGACTCGCGCCTGCTACCAGCTTCTGTGAAGTTTCATCCTTCACGGAAAAGTTCGTTTCTCACTGCAGCGCTAAATTACATTTCAAGTGACCCATTTATGTAAGCTGTGTAAAAAATGAATTATATGTTCATATTTTATTCTTTACCACGCTGATTCATCTCTATTTTTTATTATCCCACTTTTATTACCTCAGGCTGGCTACTTTCCTAAATTAATACTGAAGTTCTGAATAGAAACTTTATAGAAGAAGCATTCTGAACTCTCCCCATAAAGAATGCTAGAATAAAAAGTGATTAAAAATTTCAAAATATCTCTGGTGCAGAATGTGTCCTAATAGCCCAAGGAATGAAAGTTGGGTTTGTTTCTAGTCAATTATTTTCCACAAATAACTTAGAAATGACTGTTTGCAAAAATGAAATTATTCCTTTGGAGAAAAAAATTAAGGCATGAAAGAGCAGCGTTTTTGTTCCTACAACCACTGGCACAGAGTTGGTTCTAAGTCGGCCACTCCTTATAAATTCTAGAATCCAACTCTGCAATGGCCTTTCCATTGCAGAAAGCACCTCATTTAATGCAGCCAGTGGTTTTTCACTGTCACACTCAAAACAGACCAGGCTACTTCATGTCAAAAAGCCTTGTCAAGTGACATTATTAGTTAACCAGAATGCTTACAAAAACCAGGTACATTCTAATATAACTCAACGAACACATACACTGAGTTACCAGTTGTACTTATAGTATATATATTTTATATCTACGTGAAGAACACCTACCTGTTAAGAATGTATTTATTCAAGAGTAAGGACAATCAGCATTTAAGAGAGACAGGACAATCAGATCATACTAATGCCATATTCTAATAAAATTATACTCAAAAGGTTTTTCTTAGAAAGTTTTTGGAAATGTAATCCTACCATGTAACTTTTTTAAAAAACTTTCATTCTGGTTGTACATGTGAAATAATATCCTACTTGGAGGATTCTTTCTTTTTTAATTAAAGACTGCTCTCTGACAAGTTAACAGTAAATACAACCAACATGAAAGAGTAATAGGAACGGCAGAAAGTGCCTGCCTGTACCACGGCTAAGCTCATATAAAGTTTCAATTATTTTATATTCGGTGACTGAGTTTAGGAAAAAAAAAAAAAAAGGATCCATGGCTTTATGAAACAGCCAAAACAAAGTGCAAAAGGAGCCCTGAAATGTAGGAAAAAGAAAACTGGGTATAAATAGAAAGCATACATCCTGTTTCTTGCTGTAGAGTTTTGTCTCAAACTATCAATCAACTTTTCACCACTTGCTGCAATAGCAGGTCTACTATAAATCTCCTAGTAACTGACTAGGTTTCATTTCCTCTGCCAAAACCTGCTAACTTGCCAGGTATGACATACTGACACTAGAGCCAGCAACTGATAATGCAGGACAGGACTCCAGTGAGGCAATTCAAGAAACATTTCATGCTGGATGATCGAATACACTTAACTGGCCTTTTAATTTCAAAGGATGCACACACACACACAATCCCAGGTTCTATCGGGGAACAAACAGTACATGAACTTTCTTATTAAAGGGCAGTGATAATAATGACATACAATCATAATTCCTCTCTATTGAAAAAAACCAGTTCCAAACTTCAGAATCCCCTGCCCAGAACATATTTAT